AGAATTGGCATGACTAATAAAACACATGTGAGTGGGAATGCTGGTACACAACCTTGGAAGCTTCCCCAGTAAAATCTGAAACCAGCCCACATACACAGAGGGCAAGAATAGAGAAAAAAAAAAAAGGCAGATCACTCAAGTGGTAGGTGGCAGTTTTAACAAGCACCTACTAGTTCTGAGGCTTGTCTTGGACAGCAGCAAGATGAGTAGATCTTTTTCTATTATTATTTTACTAGTGGCCTGGTGCACGAAATCTATGCACATTAAAAGGGAATTAATTAGAGGAAATATTTTAATATTGCTATTTGGTGTCCATCTCTCTATCCCAGTCTCTCCCAGTCTCTGTCTCTCTTTGTTTCTTAGCAGTCCTCCAGGCCTCCCTGCCTCCATCTCTCCCTCTTCCTCTTTCCCGGCTGGGAGGAGATAGGGCCAGTGGGGACAACTCCACCCTCTGCCCACCCTGGGGCCTCATTCTGAGAGAGGCTCCGAGAGCAAGCTGGGAGGGAGGGAAAGGGAGAAAAGGGTGTGAGCTGATGAGCGCTGTGTGTGATTGTGAGTGTGAGTGCCAGGCACTGTCTCTCCTGGTGCCCCCGCGGAGAGGCCTGTGCCACGGGCACCGTGGCGACCCAGGACTCACTGCCACCATGGTGCAGAGAGGAAGAGGGACTTGGGACACCTTTGGAAGGCAGTTTGAAGATACTGGGAGTCTCCAGAGGGAGGGCACCCTTCTCCATCCCTGCCTGTGGCTTTGGCTCCCCTGCTCACTTCTGAGCACCACACGTGAGTTGGGGAGGGACTGGTGAAATATTTCAGTTCCTGGCCCCCACAGGCCTCCCTTCCATCCAGGCCTCTTCAGGCCCGGTCTGTTTTGTTTCCATCTCTCTATCCCAGTCTCTCCCAGTCTCTGTCTCTCTGTTTTTCTCAGCAGTCCTCCAGGCCTCCCTGCCTCCCTCTCTCTCTCTTCCTCTATACTGGCTGGGAGGGGGCAGGGCCAGTGGGGGCAGCTCCACCCTCTGCCCACCCTCTCTTCAGGCCCAGTCTGTTTTGTTTCCATCTCTCCATCCCAGTCTCTCCTGGGGCCTCATTCTCAGAGAGGCTCCAAGAGCGAGCTGGGAGGGAGAAAACTGACCCCTGCCAGCCTGGCACCCCCAAACTGACCCCTGCTGGTCTGGCCGCCACCAAACTGCCCCCCTTCTGGCCTGGTCGCCCCATAACTGTCCCCCTGCCGGCCTGGCCACCACCAAACTGCCCCCCTGCTGGCCTGGTCCCCCCCCCTAATTACTCCTCTGCTGGCCTGGTTGCCCCCTAACTGCCCCCCTGCCAGCCTTGTCACCCCCTAACTGCCCCCTACCAGCCCAGTGATCCCCTAACTGTCCAGAAGATGTCCGGTCAACCCAGTCTAATTAGTATATTTTCCTTCTATTAGTATAGATTATTTTGAGAGAATCAATTTGTTGTTCCACTTATTTACCCATTCATTGGTTGCTTCTTACATGTGCCCTGACTAGGGATCAAACCTACAACCTTGGTGTATTGGGATGACACTCTAACCAACTAAGCTACCTGGCCAGGCCAAGACAAGTAGATTCTTGCACCCACCTGTCAAATTCTAAGTTTATATAGAGGCCTTAACTGGGCTCAGTCACATATACCTTACAGATGGTCTCAACACATTTCTCTCTCAGGCTATGTCCTTGAAAATGGCTCCACTGTGGGAATGGTGGGTAGAACATACATTCCAAGGACAGGGGAGGAAGTGAGGATTGCCCAGGTCCAGTTCTAAGCTCACCTGGTGGTTAAGTCATCTCCATTACTTCCTCAAACAGGGAATCATCGGTTGGCCCTCCAACTTGTGACCTACACTTTAAAACTTTCACTCCCACACGGAATAGGCTGTATTCAACATACTGTTTTAAAGCTGGATTTCCTTAGATTATATTACATTTTGGCTTTTTTGATGAATTAGAAGATGGATTTTATTAACTACATGGGCACTATCCACTCAAACTATTTGAATGACTAAACTTTCACCCGGAAGTTTTCATTAATGTTTCCTGTAATATGCTCCCTTGACTTACATTTGTTTTACTTTAGAATTCTATGTTTCTGTTTTCCTCCTTATATGGAACTACCAAATATTCTAAGACTTAAAAAGTCATTTTCCTATTATGTAATCTTCTTTTATCCAAAGGGAAAGGAATTTCTAATCATTTTTCTATGTGACCTTCCACTCAACATATCCATCTACTCACAGAAGAAATTGTGGAATAAATGTAAAGACTTGCTGCCTCCAGGTTAAATAATATTTTTAATCCATGTAAAATATTTTCATATTAACTACATTCTTATAATTTAAAAATAAAGACAATATGAAAGAATAAACCCAAAATTTTCTAGGTTTAGATAAAAATATTCATATTCATGGATAAAATACCATGACATTTTTAATGTTTTGTTATCTCTTGTACATAAATAGTTGCAAAAGGACCAATCTGACAAAGCCAATGGATTGCATAATTATAAACAAATTTAGAGACAGACTCATAGATAGAGAGCAGGCTGACATCTGTCGGGAAAGGGGTTGTTGGCTGGGGGATAGTGGAGGGATTGAGCAAAATAGAAAAAAATAAGGAAAAACTCATTGACATGGACAACAGTATGGTGATTGAGGGGGAGGGGAGGTGGAGGAGGATATGGGGGGGTATAAATGGTGATGATGCAGACTTGACTTGGGGTGGTGAACACACAATACAGTGGTATAGAATTGTACACCTGAAACCTGTGTAATTTTGTTAACCAGGGTCATCCCAATACAGTCAATAAAAAATAAAACAATGTTTGTAGCATAAAACAAAAAAATAAAACAATGTTTGTAAACATGAAAAATTAGCAATGTAATATTAAACTCAGTTACTTACTTGAAAAGATAGAAGTCAATGACCACTTTTACAAATAAATTTTGAAAACCAAAATTTAAAAATTATTAGCTTCATTTATTATAAAGCATATGACTCTTAATTTTAGAGCTAATAATTTTTAAATAATTCCTAATTTTTAATGTCATCTACTGAGATTTTTTAATATAAAAAACCACAATAACAAAAAAGGACCAAAAAGCGCATATTAGAGAAACTTTATAAATTAGCAAAGCTTTCAATGTATATGTCTATATACATATATACATAATAAATATTTGTCTGTATTGACATATACATTGTCAATATTTGTCAGTGACAAATATACCGGCTGCTCATGAGGAAATATGCACAGGTATGTATATCCACGGATATGCTATGGGAGAGTCTACTTTTGGTTTCCAGATGCAAAGTCCTAAGCATTACAAATCCCTCCATTAGCACTTCTAACTATGTGCATGTTCCTACTTCCTCCTAAAAGGTATGCTGTAACTCCTCAAGTGTGTCTTTTCAAAATAAAAACTGATTAGATCACCCTAAAATTTAAAAACTAACACTCTACATTAGGCATATTCACTGGAACTCAACATTTTAATCATAAAAAGCAAATTTGAGAAAAACTTACATATTTAAATTGTAATCTGCACATCAGATTATTTAAGTGTGTCATCAGAATTCACTGATAAAATAAAAAATGATAAAATATTATATTTTAGGTTTACCTAAAATATAAATTAAGGCATAAGAAAAACTATGAGACCACAATATATATGGAAAACTGACCATTGAAAAGTACAAATAATTCATACAATATAGTATAAACTTTAATATATAAATTAGATATCATTTCATCAGCTGTTTGTTAGTCACATCAGTCTAAACTTTACATTACATAGTAAAATATTAAAAAGCTAGAAAACATCATTGCAATATAGATTCAGTATGGGAAAATACATATTTGTGGCTTTATACACAATTTCAATTAATCCATTCTATACAATAGTTTTTCAAAATATAAATGGCACTTTACATGCGATAGGACATACCAGGTTGGATGTCATACTATATTTTAATATACAGAAAAGTAAAGAGAAAACATCCTTCAAACAAGACAGCTACATAGCAGAGGTGGAATGTAGAACAAGATTTTGCCTTAATACAATCTTGAATAAGATAAAAGAAATATAAGGACAGTTTCTACTACTTTCAGTTAGCATTCTTTAAAATAAAGGCTACTGTGATTTTCTATTTCTAAGTGTATCACAAACTGAGAAAACATAAAAGGGAAAAGGGGCAGGGGAGAAAACCTGATCCTTGATGAATTTTAAACAGCCCTGCCCATGAACTGCCTTGAGGCTGCTTTCCTGTTGACATTTCCTAAATTACTTCTGCCACTCGGACTGTGCATCAGCAGTCAGATGAGCTTTCCAGACTCCACTATGCCATTGTGTAGCCATAGCTGCCACAATGCAGTGCCACAAGAAGTCTGTCCTTGAGTATTTCTTTACTTGGGTATTCAGGTAACTTGAGCATGTTGATGCTTTAAAAGTAAAATATACCACCATTAAATAGAAAAACTATAAAATTTCTAATTGTTTTGTCTAGCAATGAAAACTATGAAAATTAACATAAAACCACCCTCTCAAATTTGCATTCAAATTGGAAAACCCTGAAGTAGTATTTAAAAGATAAAAACAAAAGCAAAAAAAAAAAACCCTGCTGCATTGTAGTTTTCATTAGTCTGCAAATGTAGTGGAAGAAAATAAGTTCCTTTCAGCCAAAAATAAGCAAGAACAATTTAATTTGAAATGATGGTGTAATTTAGTGACACTATGACAACTTAACTTTAATGCTGGTTGAACAATATTCACTTAAATTATAGTTTCCTCAAACATATTCCTTACCAAAAAAGGGGCAAGCAAGGAACTATGTAGCTATTTATTTGTCAGTGATACCAAAATGCTGATAGAGATCACTGTTGAGATTTATTTCCTCTTCTTGTAGCAATGCAGTAGTTAGACTTTTTTGATCACTCAAAAGTAATCAAAACTTCAAAATGCATTTAAATAAAAAAATTTAACATACCATGTGCTTGAAGTCGGTAGAAGATTTGGAGTATATGGCACAGCAGCGATTGTAAAGTTTTGCAATCCACTTCCACCCATGATATTAGCAAATCCACCATGTGGGACCCTGGAACTAACAGTTCATATCTTAATATGTTGCAATCATCAAAGGAAAATCTTTATTATAGATATATTTCCTAAGTTAGGGTAAGAATGTATTCAACTCTAGGTCACCAACAAAATAATCCTTTTGAATCTGCAGCACTCCAACTTATTACTAAAAGTCACCATGTGGCCAGTTATCCAGCTTCCATGGAGACACCCCTCCACATTTCTATAAGCTGTACTATGCTTTCAATTAGCCACAGCACATAGCTCTACTATTCATTTAGCATACTGTTAGGGGCAGAAACAGAATATAGTGGGCATCAGCTACAATTATAACAAACATTAAACATGCTCTATTAACCATGATGGTTCTGTTCTGATTAGAGAAAGCACATTCTAACCTGGCTGAGAGTTGTACACCTTGGGACATACCATTGGAATGCAGTCTGTCCTCCTAGTGAGAACTGCCTATCATTAGGGAAAGATTTACAACCTCATGGCACCTAGTCCTGGAGGCACTTGCTCTTTACAACCCCCCAGGCCCCTATTACCTGTAATCTGGTCCCAGGGCACCCAGTAACTCCCCCGCAGCCCACGTGACTTGTAACCTGTACTGATTATCCCATGCCCACTTTCCTATACCTGTAATTCCTACTTCCCATGTAATCTTATCCTTCTACCCAATATAAGCAGCTGGCTTATGGTAGGGTACAGAACAGATTTTTGTGGATGACCTGTTGCTCTCCCATACTGCCGGCATTATTGTAATGAACGCTCATATGTGATTCAACCCTGTCTCTGCTTAACTGGCTGAAGTAGTGACAGGCAGCCCGGACCCCTTGGTTGTCCGGTTACAATACTGCACGTACAATTATTTTATTTCATGTGTGTCTCTACTAAACTGGGACTGATTTGAGGGCCCAAGTATGTTATATTTGTATTTGTATCCCTGGGGTTAGCAAAATGATTGGCATCTAGTAGACATTCACTAAGTATCTGCTGAATAAATAAATGTTTGCTTAATTAATTAAAGCAACAGAGGATCTTACATATAATCCAAATAATTTCCCATTTGAAAAGTATCTGGGGTCAAAAGGATTTTGTTTTGTTTTTCACAGTGGAAATACTATAAAATTCTTCACATTTCTCTTTCCAAAGATTCACAATATCAGATGTTGTTTTTTAATGTCACCTAACATAGTCAAACCACAGGAAGGCTAACACAATATGTATAACCACAACCAGAAAATTCAATCTTGTGTACATGGCTGTAGAGGATGTAATTACAACTTCTCAAATTCTATTGTTTACATTTGAAAGAAAATTAGTATTTCAAATTAGCCTTTATATATATAAATATATAAATACACACACACACACACACACACACACACACACACACACACACACACACATATCATGATTAAACAAACTGATCCTGGAATAAACTTTTTTGTTTTTAAAATGAGATGTTCTAGTGCTTTTTGGATAAATTAGAATGATGGTAAGCATTTAACATATAGGTGTCAATGCATACTCAAAGACAGTAGACTAATATTAAAAATGTTTTCTAACATGATTCATAGTACAAACCATAATTCATATGCCAAAGGATACCAGGAATAGAGTAAAAAGGTAACACAAAATAGGTGAAAATATTTTCAAATCATAAGTCATAAGGAATTGGCATCCAAAAAATATACAAAACAGCAACAAAAACCAATTAAAAATAAGGAAAGGACTTGAATAGACAGTTCTCCAAAGAAGATACATAAATGGCCTATAAGCAGATGAAAAAGACGCTTAATCAAATCGTTTGTCATTAGGGAAATGAAATCAAAACCACAATGAGGTAACTTCTTCATACACATTAGGATGACTATTAATAAAACAAAAACCACCAACCCCTACCTCAAAAAAAAGAAAAAAGAAAAGACCAAGTATTGGAAAGGACATGCAGAAATTAAAACCCTTAGGCATTATTGGTGAGAATGTAAAATGGTGCAGCCACTCTGGAAAACAGCCTGGCAGGTTCTAAAAAAATGAAACATAGAATTACAGTATATATCCAAAAGAACTGAAAGCAGAGAATCAATGAGATGTTTGAACATCCATGTTCACGGCAATATCATTCACAAGAGCCAAAATGTGGATGCAACCCAAGTGACCTCCATGGGTGAAAAGATAAGCAAACTGTGGTATATATACACAATGAAATATTATTTAGTCTTCAAAAGGAAACTCTGACATTTGCTAATACAGATGAACCTTGAGGACATTATGATAAGTGAAATAAGCCAGTCACAAAAAGACAAACAATGTATGGTTCCACTTAGATGAGGTACCTAGAAGATTCAAATCCGTAACGACAGATAGGAGAACGGTGGTTGTCAGGGGCTAGGAGAGTAGGAATGGACAGTTAGTGTTTATTGGGTACACTATTAACTGAGGAAGATAAAAATTTGGGAGATGGATGGTGGTGATGGTTGCACAATGTAAATGTACCTAATGTCACAGAAGTGTACACTTAAAAATGCAAGCCTGACAGTGTTGCTCAGTGGTTGAGCATCAACCCATAAACCAAGAGGTCACTGGCTGGATTCCAGTCAGGGCACATACCCAGGTTGCAGGCTCGATCCCCAGTAGGGGGGATGTAGGAGGCAGCCAATGGATGATGTTGCTCTCTCATCAATGTTTCTCTCTTTAGCCCTCTCCTTTCCTCTCTCTCTCTAAAAATCAATAAAAACACATTTAAAACTGGTAAATGTTATGTATTTTTTAGCACACACACTATAAAAACTGTTAAAAATGAACCAAATTGAAATTATGGATATGCATGTACTCCCAGGGGAAAAAATTAGCAATCACTATATATGAATCTCTGAAAACAGCCATTTTCTTTTCTAGCTGGGAAGCAGTTTGGTTGCTATTAAATGTTTTCCTGATGAAATGCCTGAGCTTACCTTCGAGGTCTAAGTGAATATTAAAAGTATGCGTAGGTCTTACTAATAAAATGCTAATGCATGAGCAATTCCTACTTAGGGCAAAAGAATATCTGAAGAAGACATGAATATGTCTGTCAACTGAAATAAAATTCAACTTAAGTTAATCTATGCATATTAACCTTTGCCTAAAAAAATTAACAAAGGCAACCAAAAATGAAAAGGGATCAAAAAAAACCAAACTGTTCTCAATCTCCTATAGAGGCAGAATTTAAAAAACAAGCATAACACTGTATCAGGACAAGATGAGAAAAAGAGCCTTGACACTTATTCTTACACAAACTGTAACAGTATTTCATTATCAGGGTAATTAAGCTAATGTCTTCATATACCTAAATTTTGAAAAGTAAGCTTTAAAAAAAAACAAAGATTTTATAATTTTGTTAGAATAAAAGGAACAGGCCCTATCTCATTCCCTGCTAATCTGAAAACTGGTATCTTTCTGAAGGATAAATGAGCAATATGTATCAAGGTTATAAAAATGAATGTACTTTCTATATAAAAATTTCCCTAAGAATTTATCCTATATAAATAATGTAGGATTTTGGCCCACCAAGTATGTAGCACAAAAATTCCTTATTTCTGCAGCCTTATTCATAAATGAGGAAATTCGGCAATAAAGGACAATATCAATTAAAGGAGGTCCATAAATTGAAGAGTTAGGCAGCCATTTAAAAATTGTATCTATAAATGGAATAATTTTTAGTGATATATTGCAAAATTCAAGTTATAAAACTGGGACAATGTCTTAAAAAGCAAAAATTTATATATGTGAGTAACATTCTGGAAGAATAACGACAATGTTAACAGTGATTATCTCCAGTGATTGAGCTTAGAGTGACTTTTTAAAATTTGAATTGCCTAACCTTCCTACACAGAAAATGTAATTTTTATTAAATTATTTTCATTAAGTTACGCAATCACAGGGTATTTCTTGGCATGAAGAAGCCACCAAAAAAGCAAAACCCCAAAAACTTAACAAGGTTTTCTTTCATAGCTTTAGTCTACAATCTGAATATTTATGTTTTATTTTATTCTTTAAAATTAGACATATGGTGGGACTCCAACTATTTTCCTAATCATATAGTTAAAAGACTAAGAAAATAAAGTAAAATGTTAATAGCATTATCTATGTGGTGGAATTACTTAATAGGATTTTCATTTTGTTCTAGCTATATTCTCCATTTTCTAAACTTTTAAAATGCTTATATACTAGTTTAAAAATAAGACAATAGTGTACCTGGCCAGTGTTGCTCAATGGTTGAGCACTGACTCAAGAACCAGGAGATCATGGTTTGATTCCGGTCAGGACACATGCCTGGGTGGTGGGCTTGATCCCCAGTACGGGGCATATGTGAGGTGGTCAATCCAAGATTCTATCTCATCATTGATGTTTCTGTCTCTCTCCCCCTCTCCCTTCCTCTCTCTGAAATCAATAAAAACATATTTTTAAAAAATAAGACAACAGTGAATCTTAAATTACATACATATATTTTATATAGATACACACTCAAAATTATGTTTTTAAAAAAGCAAAAAACACTCTGGCTGGGTAGCACAGTTGGTTGGGGCATCATCCCATATAACAAAAGACTCTGGGCTAGATTCCCAGTCACTTAAAAAATCTATACTAATAAAAGCCTACGTGGCCCTTGCGCCCTCATGTCATCAAAAGATGGCCGCCCCCACGTCATCATAAGATGGCCACTCCCCACGTTGTCACAATATGGCCACCCTCACAGTTGGGGGTGATCAGGCCGCCAGGGGAGGGCAGTTGGGGGCCATTGGGCCAGCAGGGGAGGGCAGTTGGGGGCCATCAGGCTGGCAGGGGAGGGCAGTTGGGGGCCATCAGGCTGGCAGGGGAGGGCAGTTGGGGGCGATTGGGCCGGCAGGGGAGCAATCAGGCATTAATTAGGCCAGCAGGGGAGCGGTTAGGGGGCGATCAGACTGGCAGGCAGAAACGGTTAGGGGCAATCAGGCAGGCAGAGAGGCGAGTGGTTAGGAGCCAGCAGTCCCAGATTGTGAGAAGGTGCAGGCTGGGCTGAGGACACCACCCCCCTGCACAAATTTCATGCACTGGGCCTCTAGTAAATAAATAATAAGGCAGAGAAAAAAGGTAAATACATCAAATTGTTTATAGTAGTTACTGCTGGCAGAGTGTGATTTTTTTTTTATTCTTCTAATTTTCTGTGTGCCAACTTTCCCAGGAGAACTATGCACATTTGTAACAGAACTGAACTATATTTTAATAAATAGAAGGAAACAGATAAAATTCTATGTTATAAAGAATGAAAATCGAACCTTTTTTTACATCTTTCAGAAATATAACTTAAAAGAAGTTTTCTAATCTATGATATTTCACTGGTTGCAAAAGAAGACTTCTCAAAGTGTGGTATCATAATTATTCTTAGGACATGGATCTTAACATTTAAAGTAAAGTTTTATAAGAATTGGAGAAAAACCGCTGTGTATGGGTATTATATGTGTTGTGGTGTGCACGTGTGTGTGTGTGTGTGTGTGTGTGTGTGTGTGTGTTGCCCAGCACACACAAATATTAAAAATCTGGCTACTACTATTGACCAATCTGCAGAATTTTAAACAGACATTTATTGGCCACTACTATATATGTTTTATTTTAAATGCTTAAATAAATCTTTGTTTAATATCATAAAAGTGGAAAGGGAGGTAAAAAACTGACAATTCAGAGTAATAATTCATGTTGGTTGTTTATCTCTAAGCCATTAGAAATAGAATACATTAAATTACTTTCCCATTATCATAAAAACACTTCCTACCTGCCAGTAACAAACTGCAGGAGAAGAACTCTCTCCTCTGGAGTAATATCTTCCACAACTTCCCAGAACCACTGACAAAATGAAAACAAAAAACTTAGCTCACATTTCAGAGCAATCGTAGACTTAATACCAAGAAGTATGCAGCATTCATAAAGCACATTTGATTCTAAGGAACTCATTTATCAAAAATTATTTCATACCAAGCTTTCATATGCAATTCCCATAAGAAGAATTTAGGGGAAAACTTTACTTCGTTAATTAATGTAGGTTTTCATCCAATAGTGCTGAAAAGCTTACAGAATCAAATGGTAAAACTTAACTTCATTCTAAGCTCTAGAGAAATTTTACCTGAATAACTGGATCTTGTCTTTCATAGCCACTTGTGTATTCTGTATTTTTTATCCAATCACTCACATCAATTTCTGGCATGCCAGAAAGCAGTAGCTCCTTTGGGGAAGAAGAAAAATATTTCATTATTCTTCTTTGGGGGAAAAAAACACACAAAACTATTACATTTAAAGAGTAGATTTGCCTTAATTAGAAACTAATTCCATGTAAAAGCGATTTATTTTTGTGACAGTGTCTGCATGTCATCAATAACAAGTACTACATGGGAGAGAACCCTTGATACCAATGATCTCAAATATGTGAGCTGTGCAGATGTCTCTACATTGATACAACTTAATTAAAACATAAGGAGACAATACTTTGTTTATAGATAAACACTTATGCAGCAACAGCTTATATGTGCAATACTTTTATGAACATTATCTTTATGGTTATTTTTATTTTAGGAATTTGTTAAATTATATAAAGAACCATTTTCTCAATATGAAAGTAACAACAACAAACACCTGAATAAATCCTGGATTAAGCAAAGGAAAACATCATCAAAAATCCTAATCATTAGGAAAAGGAAAGTAATAAAATAAAAATGTATTTTTAAAAAAGATTCAGGCCTTTGCAGAACTATTCTGGAATAATTCAGATCTTTAATGTCAACTTTCCCCAAGGTGAGAAAAAAAATACAATTTCCTAATGACTTTGGTAGCCTCCTTTTTCCCAGAAAGACCGTCAAATAAACAAAATAGCAATCAAATAACTAAAAAATGAAATAAAGAATGGCAAAAGTATTTACCATTATGTTTTCCAAGAGAAAAGAAAACATGAAAAAGAGCTTGTCCACACCTCTGAATCACAGTTGGGCTTATTTACAGAGACAGGTGAGGCAATAACCAGCCTACACTTAACTAAACCACGGACAAGCTGGAATAGCAGGATGTGTTATTACAGAGACATCAATGCAATGTGGTTCAAAATCACGTTTCCTACAGCAACTACTCGTAATATATACCAGACTAGTACAGAGTGTACTTTGAAGGTTAATGAAAGTTAGTATAAGGTGGTGTCTGAGAACTCTTGGGTGTTTCTGAGATCTATTCAAGGAGTCTGCAAGGTTCTCTCTTTTCCAACTTATTTAAGGCTAGATTTTCTCCATACAGTTCAACCAAACAACATATCATAGCAGATAATGTGCAGATGCAGATATGAGTACCCATTGTCTTCTATTAAGCCAGACATTAAACTTGCAAAAATATAAAATAATGCCACTCTTCCCATTATTTTTGTTTCATTCTGGAAAATAGTTTTCAATTTTAAAATTTTTTGTTAATAGGCAATAAATTATTTTTATATGAATAAATTATTTTACATTTCTGTTTTAACTTCAAATACAATAAACATCAATTAATATAACTCAAACAAAAAGGCTTTTGTCGTAAGGAGGTCCTAAGACCTTTTGTTTGAGAACTGCTAGTTACGTTCTCCTTGTGATGGTATTATAAAATAATTTGACTAGCCCTAGCCAGTTTGGCTCAGTGATAGAGCATCAGCCTGCAGACCAAAGGGTCCCGGGTTTGATTCCGGTCAAAGGCACATGCCCAGGTTTGTGGGCTCAGTCCCCAGTGGGGGACTGTAGGAGGCAGCCAACGCATGATTCTCATCATGGATGTTTCTCTCTATCTCTCCCTCTCCCTTCCCCTCTGAAATCAATAAAAATATTAAAAAATATATACTTTGACTAAATAGAGGTGTTCTGTTAGTATCCATTTACCAGCCACAAATAGAGTCTCCACTTTTCTCTGCACTGTTCTGTGCCCTAGGAGGCTGATCCTGGCACACTAGCTCTCTTGTCTGCTGGCTTCAGGTTGGGTTCCGCCACAGAACAGGCAGAGGCCTGGAAGTGAGAGCACTTTCCGCTCCCTCGCCGCTTTAGCACCTCTTTCCAGTAGCCATGTCTCCTCATCACAGGGCTTCTTACAATAACTCCCCCACCTGTCTCTTCAATTCCAGAGGTGATAAAGACTTTCCACTGCTGCTAGTCTCTGGATGTCTCACCAAATCTTATTTATTCTTAACACTGCCTGCACCTGTATAATGGTCCCTTTGTTAATGCTCCTTTATTTAAACCATCTGGGGAAATTGGGTTTTGTGGCAGGACCTTGAAACAGACCTGTCAAAGGGAGGGAGAATGAATTTTACACATGTCTTAAATATGAGCTTAATCTTCTTTCCTTCTAAGCTAAAGTAAGCTTTTAATAATATTAAGTATGCTTTCATTGCCAATAATTATGAATAAAAATGACTGAGGCTTTATTATCTTAAGATTTTGAGCTATTTCATGAAAATCATGTTATAACTTTTTATGAAGAGAATGAAAGATCTTTATTATCCTATTTAACACTGTACTTCCCAAATAATCTTACCATCTAAATCAGTTCAACTTAGTTTTGAGGCCAGAGTCTAAAACACACCAGGAATCCTAACCTAACTTCTAATATAAGCACAACTGAAAATTTATCAGTAGCAGATCTAAATGTGAAAGACAAAGGAATAAAGTTTTTAGAAGAAATTATAGGAAAATACCTTCATGATCTTGGAATAAGAAACAATTTCTTAAAAGGACACATGAAGCTCCAATCATTTAAAAATAAATAAAAAAGGTAAACTAAACTGTGCTAAAACTAAAAACTTTATTAACTAAGACGCCAGAGTGGAATACATATTTCTAACAAAGACTCCTATAAAGAATATATAGCTCTGGCCGGGTGGTTCAGTGGATAGAGCGTCGGCCTCAGGACTGAAGGGTCCCAGGTTCGATTCCGGTCAAGGGCATGTACCTTGGTTGCGGGCACATCCCCAGTAGGGGGTGTGCAGGAGGCAGCTGGTCGATGCTTCTCTCTCATCGATGTTTCTAGCTCTCTATCCCTCTCCCTTCCTCTCTGTAAAAAATCAATAAAATATATATTAAAATATATATATATATACTAGAGGCCCAGTGCACAAAAATTTGTGCACTTGGGGGGAAAGGGAGGGGTCCCTCAGCCCGGCCTGTGCCCTCTCGCAGTCTGGGACCCCTCGCGAGATAACGACCTGCTGGCTTAGGCCTGCTTCCGGGTGGCAGAGGGCAGGCCCAATCCCTAGGTGCAGCCCCTGGTCGGGCTCAGAGCAGGGCCGACTGGGGAGTTGGGGCACCGCCCCTGTCATGCACAGAGCAGGGCGGATTGGGAGGTTGTGATGCCACCCTCAGTCACGCTCGGGGTAGGGCCGATAGGGGGTTGGGGCACCACCCCGTCACACTCAAGGCAGGGTCGATGGGGAGGTTGCGGCGCCACCCCCGTCACGCACAGAGCAGTGCCCATCAGGGGGGTTGGGGCTCCGCACCCTGTCATGCACAGAGCAGGGTAAATCAGGGGGTTGGGGAGCTCCCCCCTGTCACTCACAGAGTAGGGCCGATAGGGGAGTTGGGGCACCGCCCTGTCACACACAGAGCAGGGCGGATCAGGGGGTTGGGGAGCTCCCCCCTGTCACGCACAGAGCAGGGACCATCAGGGCGTTGGGGCGCCTCCCTCTATCACCCACAGAGCAGGGTCGATCAGGGGGTTGGGGCGCCGCCACTGTCACACTCAGGGCAGGGCCAATTGGGAGGTTATGGCTCTACCCCATCACACACAGACCAGGGCCCATGGCGGTGCGGGGGAGTTGGGGCGCCGAGGGGGTTGGGGCGCCGCCACTCTCACACTCAGGGCAGGGCCAATGGGGAGGTTATGGCTCTACCCCGTCACACACAGAGCAGGGCCCGTGGGGAGGGTTGGGGCGCCGCACTCTGTCACACACAGAACTGGGCCGATCAGGGGGTTGGGGGACCGCACGCTGTCACACAAAGAGCCACAGGGCAATCAGGGGGCTGGGGACCTCCCCCCTATCAGGCACAGAGCAGGGCTGATCAGGGGGTTGGGGCGCCTTCCCCTGTCACGAACAGAGCAGGGCGGATAGGGAGATTGTGGCCCCGCCCCCTGTCACACACAGAGCCGCAGGGTGATCAGGGGGTTTGGGTGCTGCCCCCTGTCACGCTGATCCCAGTGCCAGGAGGCCTCACAGCTCCGCTGATCCTGGTGCTGGGAGGCATATTACCCTTTTACTATATAGGATAGAGGCCTGGTGCATGGGTGGGGGCCGGCTGGCTTGCCCTGAAGGGTGTCCTGGATCAGGGTGGGGGTCCCCACTGGGGTGCCTGGCCAGCCTGGATGAGGGGATGATGGCTGTTTGCAGCTGGTCACACACCCTTCAGGGTGGGGTTCCCCCTTGGGGTGCCTGGCCAGCCTGGGTGAGGGGATGATGGCTGTTTGCAGCTGGTCACACACCCTTCAGGGTGGGGGTCCCCACTGGGGTGCCTGGCCATTCTGGGTGAGGGGCTGAGGGCTGTTTTCAGGCTGGCGGGTGACTAAAGCTCCCAACTGCTCCTTTTTTTCTTTTTCTTTTTTTATTCTGGGCCAGCTTTAGCTCTGACTCCAGCTCTGAGGTCTCGGCTGCTGAAAGCAGGTATCTGGTTTGTTTGTGTTCTATAATGGAAACACTGTATCAACTCCAGCTCTGAGATCCCTGCGGGCTGAAAGCGGGTTTCTGGGGTTTTGTTTAGCTTCTATATTTGTAACTATGTTTCAAACTGCAAGCTCAGAGGCCGGCAAGGCAGGCGGGGAACGCTGGTTTCCTCCGTCACTGAAACAAGCAAGCCTCATGTTAGTTTCAAGCTGCCTGGCTGCCAGCCGCCATCTTGGCTGGCAGTTAATTTGCATATCACCCTGATTAGCCAATGGGAAGGGTAGCGGATGTATGCTAATTACCATGTTTCTCTTTTATTAGATAGGATATAAAGAATCCTAGGGATTAGTAACAAAGAAAATAGAAAACACAATAGAAAAAATGGACAAATTGCTTTAACATTTCAAAACCAGAGTACACAAACAGCTAATAAACATATCGAACACACTCAACTTCATTGATCATTAGGGAAATGCAAATTAATATCATGATGAAATACCACTACCAATCCACCAAAATGGTAAAAATGCAAAATCAAGTTATCAAATGCCTGTGAAGAATGGGAACACCCAGAACTTCCAGACCTGGTGGTGAGAGCGTAAACTGACACACCACTTTGGAAAACTATTTGCTAGTATCTATTGTAATGTAATAAATACTCACCATATATGGCAGCAATTCTACTCCAAGGTATATAACACAGAGATTGCATGCATATTTCTCCTAAAGACATGTACTAGTATGTATGTAGCAGCACTATTTCAAATAGTCTAAAACTAAAAAGTACTTACCAAATGTTTAAGAGGAGAAAAGATAAAACAGTATCCTGACACAATGAAATACCTACCATACAGCAATGAAAATGAACAAATTACACTGCATGCAACGACAGTATAACTCTCACAAACAAAAAGCCCAGCCAAAGAGGTCAGATATATTCCAGGTGATTATTTCATTTATATTAAATTAAAACACGGGCAACCTAACCTATGATATTATAAGTTAGGAGAGTGGTTGCCCATGACTGGGGATAGTTAGTGAAAGGGGACATGAAAGGGGCATCTGGGGCACTAGGATCTGTCAATTTCTTAATCTGGGTGCTGTTTTCATGGGTGTAGTCAGCTTACGAAAATGTATCAAACATGCATTTATAATGCATGTATTTTTCTCTATGTATACTGTAATTCAATAAGTTTCACAGAATTTATAAGTATCAGTAAATTATGAGGCAAATTTTTTGTCAATGGTTTATGTTGTTGCTATTGGTTTTTTACACCATAGGTCCAAGAAATAATGTAATTCCCTGTTTAACAGTTCATAAGTACTCCTCCATTTTTAAATGCTAAACGTAACTTTTATGGTTATGCTAAAACTAGACAAGTCTATGCTAAACAAAACCATTAATCCTAAACCTAAAAACAGAACCAAAAAAACTCAAAACTGGGTTTTTTGTGTTTTTTCTTTTTTTTTTTTTGATTTGAGAAATGGATTTGTTGGGGATCCAACCTTGGCGTGATCAGGACAATGCTCTAACAACTGAGCTACCTGGCCTGGGCCTCAAAACTGATATTTAATGAAACTAAATCACAAGGGACTTCAAAATTAATTAGCAAATTCTGTCCACTACTTTACTAAGATACACCATGAGTGAAAAAAAATTGAGAATACTGGTATATGTGTAAAATTAAAGGTATATACCATTGCACTTATTCATATATTAAAATGAAGGGCATAGGGTAAAACTAATTTTATGAAACAGAATAAAACCAAAGGATACTTTCCATTGACCTAAAATTTAATTTTCCAAATTATACTTTTTAAAAATGATACTCTATTTACAATACTGGGTTTTATTAAGGAGTTAGAAACTTAGAGAGTTTGGAAACAATTTATTACCAAAAATAAAAGAGAAAAAGGAAATAAGGGAAAATGCAGACATAAATCATATAACAGCAGAAATCCCATTGGATCACAGTAAAAGGCAGACAAATTAAATATAATAAAACATTCATTAGAGAATGGGGGCTAGCAAAAAGAGTGGCCTTCACAGAGTTTTGAAATGGAAAATTATAAAATTATATATATGATGAAATAAGCTGAAAAGAAAACCCAAATATAACAAGAAAAAACTTAATCAAGTCTTCTCTTTGGAAGTATGAGAAGTTTGTATTGGTATTCTTTTTTACCACAGATGACCAAAAAAAAATTCAGAAATATGGAATTTTGCTTTTGGGACGACTGACCCTCAGCTTCTTCCATGTACAGTACTTCGGAAACAATATTCCATTTTTATCACCACTGCATTCCATTTCACATTCAGGAATTGCTAATATGGTTATTAAGCTTAAGAGAAGCACAATCACAAATGTTGTAACAAATCTCTAAACACGAATTCTAAACCATCTGTCTTATACATTATTCCATGCACCTCAGTACTCCAAAATTATTTTGAGTTACATCGACTGGAGTTTTGTATTGTTGTGTTGCAATAAAGGAGCTGATGTTTTTCCTTACCAACTCAAATTCATCAAACAGCTGTATGAGGGAAGGTGGAATGAACATGTGAAAGCCTTGGAGAAAAGCATTGATCTGAGGTTGAATGGCTCTTGTCATTCGAAGTTCTGTAACAAGCTGGACATACTCCTCCTATTAAAAAAGATAGTTTTCATGATGACTTTTTTTTTAATTCCACATACTTAAGATAATTTTGATATAGTCACTTCTCATTTAAGAGGTAAAGATTTAGCCGAACCGGTTTGGCTCAGTGGATAGAGCGTCGGCCTGTGGACTGAGGGGTCCCAGGTTCAATTCCGGTCAAGGGCATGTACCTTGGTTGCGGGCACATCCCCAGTGGGGGGGCGTGCAGGAGGCAGCTGATCGATCTCTCTCATTGATGTTTCTAACTCTGTCCCTCTCCCTTCTTCTCTGTGAAAAATCAATAAAATATATTTTTTAAAAAAAGAGGTAAAGATTTAGAATTAAGTTGGCACCAATATTCATACACCTCAGTAAACCAGCACCCTACCATTCACTAAACTGTTTTCTCACACCCTGTCTGTAACAGCAGTGCTATCAAGATCAGTGGTCCCACTTCTGGAAATATATCCTAAAAATCCCTGAACACCAAGCAAAAAGAATAGATGCGCCCCTATGTTCATAGCAGCATTATTTAAAATAGCTAAAATCTAGAAATAGCCCAAGTGCCCATCAGTAGATAAGTGGATAAAAAAGCTGTGGCACATTTACACAATGGAATACAATGTGGCCTTGTGAGTAAAAAGTAATCTATACTAATAATAGATAAATATGTAAACTGACCATCCCTCCACGACACCCACAGCCAATCAGGAGTATGCAAATTAAGCCAACAAAGATGGCAGGCCTGCGCAGAGCAGCCGGGGTCGGGGCAGGATGCCCGCCGTGTAGCCGGGGTGACGCGGCAGGCCTCCCCGGGACCCCACCCACCCCAAGCCTATGGCCAGCGTGCATGCGTGCCGGCGCCGAGCAGCTGGGGTCCCAGGGACACCACTGGAGTGTCCGGTCCTGTCAGCCCGACCTGGGGGTGGCTGGAGTTCCCAGTCCTTTCGGTTTCTGCAGCCTCTGGCCTGGAAGCAGAAACCAAAGTGCAGGGAGCACCAGGAATTCTGGGAATCGTAGTTCTGGTGGCAGCCCCTGGACAGGAAGCGGAAGCCCAGAGCGTGGGTAGCACCAGGAATGCTGGGAATTGTAGTTCTGGTGGCATACGCATTGCGGGATCTCCTAGACACTAGAGCAGTGGTTCTCAACCTGTGGGTCGCGACCCCTTTGGCGGTCAAACAACCCTTTCACAGGGGTCACCTAAGACCATCCTGCATATCAGATATTTACATTACGATTCATAACAGTAGCAACATTACAGTTATGAAGTAGCAACGAAAATAATTTTATGGTTGGGTCACAACATGAGGAACTGTATTTAAAGGGCCAGAAGGTTGAGAACCACTGCACTAGAGCAAAGTGAGCCAGGAGCAAGTTACTGTTGCGGTGGGGGATGGAGGGAAAGCAAAGGTGGGAGACATAAATAAACTCAGAGTGTCAAGGAAAAATTAAAAGGAAGATATCCTGCAACTTCTAGGAAATCTCCACCAATGGAGCAAAGAAGAAAAAAAGACCTTTATTATTCTGTGAGCACTAAACCAAACTGGGTTGGGGTCTCAGACAATTCGCTCATATGATTGCAAAGACAGACAGAAACACCAGGATTGGAGAGGGCTCCCCTGAGGGCTCCCAGATTGGAGAGGGTGCAGGTCGGGCTGAGGGAACGACCCCTCCCTGACCCCCCCCCCATCTCCCCGTGCACGAATTTTGTGCACCGGGCCCTTAGTATATTGTATATAATCCTCACTTCCCAGGAACAAATACTCTAAACACAAAGGGGAGAAAACCTATTTTGGGACCAACCCTTTATTATTTATTTTGGGGGGGCACTAACATGATGCTCAGCCCCCAAAAAAATCACAGGCACTGAGTCAGCAAGTTACTAGTATATACTGGCTATGAATTCTCTGTGTATCTCAGAGCTACAGAAGTGTCAGTGAATTCCTCACTGCTCTCTCCAAACCCCACCTGGCTTCTACTTTCTGGCACAGGGAAAGGTGCCAAAGCTGCCATTTAATCCATTCTTACCCCCAATCCCACTCCCTACCTACCAAAGGCTTTTCCCACTATATAGGAATTAATCGGCTACTACAAGTTACATACAGACAGTTACTAGAGGAAGACAGAATCATGTATCAAACAATCAAATAGAAACACAGAACTAAATTTCAGGGTTCAATCAAGAAATAATATATAATAACACACTTCTAAGTGATAACCAGCAGTGAATTCAGCATCAGCACATGATTATCTCAATATTTATGAATGCTCTAAAACTGCGTATTGAACACTACAATTTTTCTACTCCATCCATTCATTAATTATATGTTTAAGATGTTATATAAGATCTCATCTTCCCTTAACAAGAATAGCTTTTATTCAAGAGGTTTTGTTTTTACAATCAAAGTACTACTCAGTAGTTACTGCTCAAGACCTTACTAAATTATGAAGCTTGAAAGTAAAAGATTTGTGAATTGCTCAAGTACACTTATTTTAATTTGCCATTTTAGTCCATATTTATCAGAATAGTACACATCTCTTATTTATCAATTAATTCTTATTGTTTCCCCATACATTTTATTTTTAGAAATTTGTTTTCAGAAGTATACTAATCTTTGCTCACATGTTACCTTCTATTTCACCCAATACATTTATTTCTATAACTCTGGTTCATAGTTATTAAATATCAATATGTGAACATCAGCTCTTTCAGATACCAGTCTCCATATTAAGGTAATTTAAATGTGAAAACAAACAAATAAAAAATTCCTGGCCAGGTGGGTCAGTTGATTGGAGCATCCATCCAGTCAGGCACATATGGAAGGCAATGATCAATATTTCTCTCTCTCCCTTCCTTTCTCTATAAATAAATACATACATACATACATACATACATACATACATGTCCTTGGGTGAGGATTAAAAAATAAATAAAAAATGTGAACTTGGTCTGAAAAATGGATCTTGGTCTAAATTATTTCTCCATAAAATAATGAAATCCTAGCCATCACATATCCTCCTGGGTATAATAAAATAAGTTTTCCAGGTAGTTGAAAGATAATTGTGTTTAACAGTTAAAATCTACAGAAAACAGAAAAATATCTAAATCCAACTGCTTCTAAAATAGTTGTTCTGCCTCCTTAAACTGCACATCTTCAAATAGAGTAAAACCATAAACATTTTCTTGATGACACAATTATTACTATGAACATCCACTATTATTATGCACTAACATTTTGACTGCTCATACTGTGCTACAGAAACACACTGGCTGCATTCCCACTACATATGAAGGCAGCCAAGTGATGCACCGCCACACTTTATCCCCTCATAACTACATCAAATACCCATATGCCTTAAAGAAACAGTGGACACACAGATGATAATCAGTCTACAAAATAGTGGCATAAAGAGTTGCATGATCAGCCCGGCCGGCATGGCTCAGTGGTTGAGCGTCAACCTATGAACCAGGAGGTCATGGTTCGATTCCCGATCAGGGCACATGCACTGGTTGCGAGCTCGATCCCCAGTAGGGGGTGTACAAGAGGCAGCCGATCAATGATTCTCTTTCATCATTGATGTTTCTATTTCTCTCTCTCTCTCCCTTCCTCTCTGAAATCAATAAAAATATTTTTAAAAAGAAAAAAGAGCCGAAACCGGTTTGGCTCAGTGGATAGAGCGTCGGCCTGCGGACTGAAAGGTCCCAGGTTCGATTCCGGTCAAGGGCATGTACCTGGGTTGCGGGCATATCCCCAGTGGGAGATGTGCAGGAGGCAGTTGATCGATGTTTCTCTCTCATCGATGTTTCTAACTCTCTATCTCTCTCCCTTCCTCTCTGTAAAAAATCAATAAAATATATTAAAAAAAAAAAAAGAAAGAAAAAAGAGTTGCATGATCAAACATTAAATATATACCAAACCTGATATCTCATTTTTTCTAAGGTATTAAAAGAGATGATATAACTTGGAGGGGCGGGTAAACTTTTATCCCCAACAGATGGCATATTTGCTCCCACGTGAGTTTTTTGCTAATTCTTTGAGGGCATAAAGTAATGCCAGATGCCATAGATGTAACTCGAAAAATTAACTATATACAAGAATCTGAGTTAGTGCTGTACTAAAATAGTTATGTTAACATACAGAAAGTATTCAACTTAGAAAGCCTCAGCATGGAGATAAGAACAACAAAAAGCCCTAACAACTTTTTTCTAGCTTAACCTCTGAGCCTGATAACGGATACAACATAGCTAAGAAAAAAGTAACTGCAAAGGGAAAAATACCACTAAGATTAAGGAGATGCAACATCTGACCTTAAATTCCAGTTAAGTTATAGGTCTAGTTACAGAAACATTTTGTTTTAATAATCTCCTAGTCTTCTGAATGTGTGGAATGAATAATATCACCCTTCAGAAATGTTTTTTAAAATCTAACTTCTTTTCAGGCTTTGGACCTAAATTATGTCTTTTTATTAGGGGCGATAGTGATGTTGAAACTTAAAATATTTTTAAAGCTATTTTTCTTCTTGAAAATCTTTTCTACTATTCCTAGGAAAATATTTAAATAAACCATATTTATATAAATAAAAATTAATTTTAATAGTGAAACCAAGATGTTCCTTCTAAGTAGACCGATAAATTTGGCCATACTTGTAAAACTGTCTGGAATAATAATTTTTTTTGCAATTAACAGTTTCAATGCCATTATTATTCTCATAATTCAAATAACTGTTTGAATATAAATCCCTTGGTAATAAAAGCTTCCTTCCTGGGCTTCTCCAATTGATTAGTATTGCTCTGGTATGTAAGAGTTCTCACTAAAAACTTCTCCACCTAGAGCTCAAAAGAATACCAGGTAAGAATAAGTAAGTAAAAGAAAAAGAGAGGCACTGTAATATTTTTCAATCATTTTTTCTTTACCAGTATATTCTTATTTTTAAGGTCACATATTATTTACAAAGATTGATAGTCTGGTAAAAATCCTATTACTTCAGTTTACCTGAAAAAAGTTTAG